CTGCTGCAGGGAGGGCCCGGCGTGCAGACACCCCCTCGATTCAGCCTCGCCAGGTGAGAGCACAGAATAGTCCATACATGGCAGATGGGACCCTCTTGGAGCTCAGAGTCTGAGACCATCTTGCTCCGGGTTTGTGTGGCTTCACAGTGGGTGAATCTGATCTCAGTACCTTAATTCTTACTCACCTACAACCTTAGGAAGTCAGGGGCCCCTCGCACCTACGTGCGCTCCGGGCCCGACTGCGCTGGGCTGCAGGAGGCTTTGCGCCGGCTCTGCTGTTCGCCCTCCCTCTGCCGCTCTAGGCGCAGGTGCAGTGGTTTTGAGCAAACCCAGGCGCCCCAGGGCCCGACCCCTTAGTTCCTCAGGTGTCATTTCAGAGACCTCCATGCTTGTGTTCCTCCGTGTGTGCGTGCCTGGGTTCGTAAAATCAAAAACGCCAGGCGCTTCCAGGCAGAGCGTGTGAGATCTGTGGCTGGGGGGTTAGGAGCCAGTGTCTCTGCTACGAGGGGACCCAAAGCCCCCAGACAGCACGGGGCTGGTCCTCTCAAGCCCCCGGGGCACCCTTTGAGGCTGGGTCTGGGCCCAGGCGTGGGTGAAGGGCAGCTGGCCCAGGCCCCCTGAGGTGCTTTTGGCCTCCAGAGGGGTCTGTTTTCACAGTGAATGGCCAGATTGGGCTGTAGGTATGGGGGACAGGTGGCCTAGAGGAGGCCGAACCTGAGACCAGGCCTCTGTGCCCCAGGGTCTAGGTGCTTCCTGGCACCTGGTGAGAGCTGGATTCCGGAAGCGGCTAGTGGGGAGCGTGCAGCCGGCTGTGGTCAGTCAAGAACAGGACTGTGGGAAGTGTGTACAAGGACACCTGTCCCGGGCAGTTCGGGCTGCTGGAACAAAGGACCACGGACTGGGTGGCTTGTAAACAGTAGGAATGTATCCCCCGTGGTTCCGGAGGCTGGACGTCTGAGAAGAGGGTGCCTGGGGGCTGGGTTCTGGTGAGAGCCCCCAGGCGGGTTGCAGCCGGCTGCCTCCCCGCTCTGTCCTTGCATGGAGTGGGGAGAGGACTTGGTTTAACTGTACTTACCTCCTGACGTTCCCATCTCCAAAGGCGGTCACATTAGGGGTTAGGGCTTCAACCTAGGGAAGAGGTGGGGGGAACACAGCTCAGTCCACAGCACGTGTCTGTAGGGGCTTACACAGTTCACCGGGGTCGGCCTCTGGCACACGCCCCACTGAGGTCCTTAGGCCTCGGGCTACCCTGTGAAAATCATTCTGCCCCTTTAATCAAGGTTCAGCAACTTGATTCTGCAAACCTGTGAGTGTTTGCAGGTGTGTGGGCCACATGGTCTCCATGGGACCGCTCTGCTCAGCTGTAGCAACACCAACACAGTGGTGGGTGTGGCTGTGCCAATAAAACTTTATTTACAGACGGGTCATGGGCCACGTTTGGCCCACTTTCTGTCATTGGCCTACCGTCCACCTAAATGACATACCTGCCCAATGAAGAGACTTAGAAAAGTCAACGCACACGAATGGCTTGGCCCCACAGTTGAAAGAGCCATGGTGGGTGTCTGATGAAGGAGCTTGGCTTTTCCTAAAGATTTCTGTTCATGACGGGGGCCTTGTACTTGTGAGCGTGCGTGTTGTATTTCTTGAGATCACAGATCCGTCCCAAGAACGTTTCTGTCATTTACACGGTGCCCCGGACCAAGGCTTAGCAGCGGCACTGGGCACCGTCGTGCGGATCTGCCCACGGCCATCGAACAGCCTCCTTACGGTTCCTCCTGTGTGCACGTGCGGTCTTGTTGGTACCGAAGGGGAGGCCGGCTCTGCCTGGGCTCCTCAATTCCTCGGGGAGGTCCCTGGGAGGCGCGGCACAGGGACCCGCTTGCCTCAAGTGACAGGAATGGCCAGTGGCCGCGCCTCATCCAGGGTTTGCCAGAGCCGCACCTCCCGCTCCCCCGGGGCTGGCAGCTGGTTCTGGCGGCTGGGGGCTCTGTGCCCTGGCCGTGGTGCAGGGGGCCCCTCAGACCTCCTCCCCACATTTGTGCCCCATTCTCATCAGAAACTAACGACACAGCCAGCTCCCTTTGAGGGCACACGCTCTGTGGCGGCTGCTGATGGGGGCGGGGTGTGGGCTGCTAACTTGGGGAGCTGGTAGGAGAGCAGCGGAAACTATCAGCTTGAGTGACTCCAGCAGATCCTTGAAAATGCCTGTCTCCGGTTTGGGAGTGGGACGGCGGGTGGGAGAGGGAGAATGAAAACAGAGCGATTTGCCCAGGCCTTGCCCAGGCCGTCCCGAAGAGCCTGCCGTGAACCACCGCCCCCCGGCCCCCACTCTGAGCCTCCTTCCCGAGCAGCCCCTGCAGCTTGGAGGCTCTGTGCTTGCCCCGGCCGGCCGGCCAGCTGCAGTGAACCACCAACCTGTGGTGGCCCCAGTCACAAGGTACCCGGTGCTGAGGGCTCTTGGGGATCTGGCGCGCTCGGCCCCAGGAGGAGAAGCTGGGTCTTCTTGTCGGCCTTAGCAACCTCACCTCCCTAACTGGTGGGCCGACGGGAGCCCGTGGGTCCGTGGCGCCTGCCCCCGAGCTCAGCTGCCCTGCCAAGGAGGCGATGGGGCCGTGTCCTAAATCCCAGCGGCTGTCGCTCCCTCCCCGGACCCAGTGCTTGCTCCCTGGGTGCCCGTGCCGCTCCTGAATCCTCCCCCACGGGCCACAAGCCCCACCGCAGCCAGAACCGGGGGAGAGGGAGTGCGGCTCCAGCCGGGCCGTGGGGCACGGGCCAGCCTCCAGGCCACCCGGCGTTGCTCCTCAGAGCACATCTACGTGTCCCCCTCCGGGGTGCACACAGGTGCCTTTTTTAATTACTTAAGGAAAAGCAACTGCAGAGCCACTCTATGCACATCCCTTAAGCCGCTGTCGATGGGGGCTCTGGGGAGGCCGGGGCCCGGGCCAGGAATCTGAAACACGGGCACCATCTGTGCTCCCGCCACTCAGAAGCCAAATTACACCGCCAGCCTTTCTCTCCTGCACAGTTTTTCATTAAATGAATTGCTTTTGCTGGGAATCGCTTGTCCATAAATATTCCCTCCTGCTTGGCATGGTCAGGTTGTTGCCGTCCCCAAGTCCAAGCTCCCAGATCCAGCCCTGGGGGGTGGGCGGGAGTGGGGGGTGGGAGCTGGGGCTGCAGGAAATTCCTCAGGACACTTCCTGAAGCCCCTCCCGCAGCCCCGATGCACCCACGTAGATGGGGGTCCTCAGTGATGGGGCAAGCATGGAAGGGCTTGTCGGGGCAAGGGGCACGGTTGCTGGATCCAGTTACATCCTTTCCTTCTTGCCATTTCCATTGAGAAAGTGATAGTGACACGGTTGTAAAGGAGGGTGAGATGCGTGTTTAAAATGGAAACGTGTTTTAAGCTACGATTTTGGAAATGGGCCTCTCCTAAGCCTGTTTATTTGATAGGGGGGCAGAAAGAGGGGCTGAAAGCGTTCTGAGCAGGCAGGCGTTCAGAGTTGGAGCTGCAGGGGCTGCAATGCAGGTGCCCCGGGCGTGTCCCTGAAGGGTGGCTGCCCTGAGGCCTCTGGTCAGCACTCACAGGACAGGCCTTCCTGGGTATATTTGTCCCCATAAGGAGGTAAGGACTGTGTCCAGTTTAGGCAGGAGGGGCACCCGGAGGTCAAGACCACCTCCTTGGGTCCCCTAGGCCACCTGCTTCCAGGGCCTGCGTTATCCTCCAGAGTCTAGACCAGTCTGCAAACCAGGCCCTGGGCCGAATCCGGCCCTTCACCTGTTTTTGTAAATAAAGTTTTATTGGTACACATGTTCGTTTATGTATTACCTATGATATTTCTGAACCACGGCAGCAGAGTTGGGAGGTTGTGACTGGGCCACTGCCTGGCCCTTTATGGACAGTTTGCCAGCCCTGCCCTAGACCAGTGGCCCCTTAGTTTCTCTCCCTTTTTGCAGTAGGATGATTTTCCAGTCCTATCTTGGTCTCATCCCACAGGTAAGTCGGAGACCAGGGCTGCCTGAGTTCTTCCTGCTGATGGAGGAAGGTTCTTGGCTCATTGGCTAGAGCCCAGCTTCTGGAATCTTTAGCTGGCTTTTCTGACCCACGACTTCCCAAGGTGTTAAGTGTCCCTGAGACACCTGTGTGCCTCCTGCATGGTGCCCGGCACTGGGGGCCACCACGATGCGATGACATGGAGGAGAGGCTCCAGGAACATGTGGCTTGTGGGAGTTGTTCAGGGCACAAGAGGGATGGGTCTAGACAGCAGCAGAGGGGACAAGAGGGACCCCATTTCAGCTTGTCCTCGCCATGCTTGTTTGCCCCGTGCTCGAAGCTCCCAGACACAGAGGACCCTCTGCTCCAAGGCAGTATTGCTCCAGGCCCCCTGGTACACTGTGCCCACCCCCTGCCTCCACGGGCCACTCTCAGTCTGAGTTCTGGCCGCCCTGGGGCAGCCGCTGAGTCTCCGGGTCCTGGCTTCCTCTCCCCAAACCCGCGAGGCAGAGACCGGGAGCAGGCATATATGTGCCCTTGGGTGCCCTGCACCTTCTTAAAATCACTTGTTTCCTCTTTTGCTCTCAGCCTTTTGGGACTGACCGCTCTCCCCTCTTCCTAACCTTCAAAATGACTGCTATTAGGAAGCACTCCACATGCATTTTGGGGGGGACGCATGTCTGACAGCTGGCAGGTTTCGGTTAGAGCCGACACGTGGGCAGCTGGAGGTTGGACCCTTGTGACCTGGGGCTCCTGAGCTGCATCTGTCTGCCTGCTGACCCCTGAGTCCCGCACAAAGGGTCTGCTGTCATAGCCCTGGGCCTCGTGCTGGGCGGGGGCTGTGACCCCACAGGAGTGGGCCAGAGGCTCCCACTTGAGGGCACGGCTTCCACTTGGGGCGGAAAAGCGCCATTTCCTGTCTGGAGGTAGAGGTTCTAGAAAGGAGAGAGGCCGGGGTGGGACTCACCCTGCCACAGGCTCAGCAGATGTCCCCTGCCCCCCGCAGTGCACGTGCCGGAAGGACATGGTCAAGATCTCCATGGACGTGTTCGTGCGCATCCTGCAGCCAGAGCGGTATGAGCTGTGGAAGCAAGGCAAGGACCTGACGGTGCTCGACCACACCCGGCCCACGGCCCTGAGCAGCCCAGAGCTGAGCACCTGGAGCGCCTCCCGGGCCTCACTCAAGGCCAAGCTCCTACGCAGGTGAGTCACCCCGGAGCCCGAGCCACTGCGCCCTGCCTGGTTCTGGGGGTGCTGCCCCAGCCACTCCCACTCTGCACCTGGCTGGTGGCTGCAGGCTGTCCCCACCGCCTTTCCCCCTCCCTATCCCCTCCTCCTCCCCTCCTCCTCCTCTCCTCCTTCCCCTCCCTCGCCTCCCCTCCCTTTCTCTTTTCCCTTTCCTTCCTTGCTCTCTCCCTCTCTTCCGTCCTGTCTCTTCTGCAAATGTGTTTCTCAGGCCTCGACTTCCCCGAACATGGTCAGTGGGCCTGGGGGCAGGTGGTGTCTGTGTTGTCAGTCAGGTTCCCTCCTACTCCTCGTTCACCAGCTCCTGGGAGGCCAGTCCTTTGGCCCTTGGGCCACACGGTTTCCTCTCTGGGAGGACACAGGCCGTCCCCGGCACTCTTGTGACAGTCCTGGACATGGGAGCCCTGTTTCTGCGTGGCAGGGCTGCTCGGGTCCCTTCTTGGCTCCGAGCGATGGTAGGTCTCGTGCTGGAGCCTGTGTGGCTGCCGCACCCCTGCCCTTTTGCGTCTGTGGGTGCTCATTTGGCACTTTCCAAATCCTGCTGTTTGGATTCGCGATTATGGCCGTGATGCAGAGTCCTGTCCCCCCACGGATGTCCCTTACACCCCCATCCTGGCTCGGAGGGCCCCTCTCCACAGTGTGGACCCCTCCAGGCCACATGCCTGGCATTGAGTGGGGGAGAAGGCAAAGCGACAGCACCCTCTTGGCATGTCGCCGAGACTGTGGGGACGTGGGGGGCGGGTCTGGGCTGAGGAGGGGTCAGCTTGGGGCCAGGAGTGAGAGACAGCTGGCGGCAGTGCCCGACGGCGCCCCGCTACCCAGAACATCGGTCCACTGGCTTTTTGGGCGAGCACCCAGGCTCCCCGGGTCTGAGTGCTCTCGGACAGTGTTCCGCCGGATTCCTTCCTGGTGCCCAAAGGACATTCAGCACATCCTTGCCGGGCCCCCAGCCTTGAGCTGGAACCGTGCGGTGCGGGGCCTGACGGGCTCATGGCCGCTCGACAGCATGAAAGCCGCCGTGGACAGTGACATTCCGTAAACCAGTGCGCGTGGCGTGTCCCGGTAAAACTTCATTCACGGACGCTGAGATTGGAATTTCATATCATTTTCCCCTGCCGCCAAGTAGGACCACTCTTGTCACTTTGTGAACCATTCAAAAGCGTCATCACCGTCCTTAGCTTGTGGGCGCCACCAAATCAGGCAGCAGGTGGATCTGTGCTTCGGGGAAAGCTTTTCCACCGGCAGCCACTCCATCAGTTCCGGCTTCATCTTGTCCCCACTGGCCGTGGACGGTGTCTCGGGAGGCTGGGACAGAGCCCTCCTTCGGGGAGCCCCATTGGTGGCACTCCTGCGCCCTACGGGGACAGACACCCTTGGACCTATTTCTGGGAAAAACCATCCTGGCCGAGGGGCCGTGCCGGCCCAGAGCCTGCCCCCGACCGGGCTCTTCTTGCTACCCCGTGTCTGTCTGTGAATCTGCGAATCTTGGGCAGTCTCAGCCTTGGTGCATGGTTTCCCCACCCTGGGACCCCTCTCTCTGAGAATGTTCCGGCAGCTCCGGAATGCTTTCACAGCTGCTCCTGACAGCCTTCGTGAAGGTGAGTCTCTTTTTTCTCTGCTTTCTTTTGTTGTCTGTCCTTTTGATTTCTGGCTCTCCCAGTGTTCCTTGCGGGGAGCAACTTCTGGGTGAGGCCAGCCTGCAACAGAGCGAGGAGTGAGCTGGTGGAAGGCTAGCTCCCAGGCCAGACGCGCATTTGCATAATGGCTAATTGATTGTGGCTCAGCCTAATTGGTCAACAGAGCGGATTGCCAATAAACAGGCATCACATCCCAGAAATGGAGTGGCATTAGAGGCTGTCTGAAGAGCCTGCCCAGAGGACAAGGGACCCCAGCTGGCCGGCCCAGAACCTTCTGTGCCAGAGGAAGCACCCTCCACCCTCTCTGCCTGGGCCACCCCCTCCCTGTCCTAGCCCCCTTGTCATACACTCTTGCTTTCTGGAGCCTTCCTGTCTTCCATCTCTCCCTCCCTTGCTGCCGACCAGGGGAGCTGGGGTAGGCAGCCAGGGGGACTGGAGTACAAATCAGGCTTGTTCCCAAGGATGGCATTTTCTTAAAAGCCTTTAGTATGTAAAATACGGCTGATTGCCTTCTTTTTCTTTAAAGTCATGGGTTGGGGGGCCTTTCTCAGAAAAAGCGGGCTGGGGACTCAAGGCCAAGCTGGATGCCCCTGCCCCTCGGCCTGAGCTCAGTGACTGTCACGGAGTCCCATATGACTCTCTCCTGGCCATGTGGTGCTCTGCCCTGACCAGCTGTGCCAGCTCCCCTGAGCCTCAGAGGGTTTGTTTTGGGGGAGGGATGTCTCCCCCTGAGCATCCTTGGCTTGGGCCAGAGAGTGAGGGCGATGCTGGCTCTGTCCCCAGACCAGGTCTCTCCCCTTAGCACTGGGGACTCTGGGGCCGGATCACTCTCTGGGAGGGCACATTCTGGGCACTGTGGGAGGTTAAGGAGTCACCCCGGCCCCCACCCACTCAGTGCCAGGAGCACCCCCAGTTGTGACAACCACAGATGTCCCCAGACATTGTGTAAAATCCCTGAGCAAGGGCATGGCATTGGGGTGGGCTCCTCACCTGCCCACTGTTCCCTTCCATTCTTTGAGTCCCCCTGTGGCCCCTTCTCCTTCTCTGGGACCTACAGCTTCTCCTCGGTCCTTGCTCAGACCAGCTCAGCCAGGCCGCCGCCCCCCAAAGGTTCAGCCTTCTGACAGCTTGCCCCCCCAAACATCGCCTCAGAGCAGAAGCCAGGTGTTGGCCTCTCCGGGAGAAATGATCTGCACCCTACTTGTGGCCCTCCTGCGGATCCACACCGAAATCTGGTCGTGTGAATTGACCCCGCCCCGTGACAAACGCCACGAAGCTGTGACCTTCCTGCCTCTTGATGCGCGGCTCCTTGGGTTAGCATCCCATGCTCTTCCTCCTCCTGTTCTGAACGAGTAGCCCTTTTCTGGTGCACACTGTCTTCCTCTCGGCTCCTTGTCACTTCTGACAAGGGCTTTGAGAAACGCCCTGCGTCGACCGCACGTTCCAGCAGGTGTGCGATCCGCCAGCCGCACGCCAGCCTCGCACGACATCCGTGCAGGCCGTGCTCAGCCGTCTGCTGACAGGAAGATGGAGAGGGGCGTGCTTCCTCGCGGGGACCCACGGGTCTCATCCCGCCGCAGCCTCTGCCTGCTCCTGCTGACCTTGACCCCTGTCTGTCCGCCTGGGCCACTCTCCACCCACCACCCTCGCGTCACAATGGAAGCAGGGAGCCCAGGTCCAGCCTCCCACCCCTCCGACGCCTGCTGACCCGCAGGCGGCCTGTGTCCCCTCTCCTCCCTGTGCCTGACACCCTGAGCCAGGCTGGAGGTTACCACATCTCTGAGCCTGCTCCCACCAGCCCCCCCCAACTCCAACCCCAGCCCTGCCCTGCTCCTGAGCCTTTTCGCACAGACACACCTCCTGGCCTCTCAGGAGCGAGCCCTGTGACCCTGGGGCCTGTGAGCCCCATGGCCCCAAAGAGCTTGTTGCCCTGATGGCCCACGTTTCCTCGATTGTTCTCCCCCAGAGCACGCACCACAGTTTCTGAAGGTGAAATCCTTTCCTTGCTCTCACCTGCTTGTCTCTGGGGGCAGGCAGTGCTGGGGGGTGAATGAGGAGTGCATGTCTTGTGGCTGGTGGGGCGGGGGGGGTGGTGTGGAGAAGGGTCTTGGGCACAGGGCTCCTGGCCCCCTGCTCCTGGATGCAGTGGCCGGGCTGGCCTCGGGGCCTTGGCAGTCCCAGATGCTCCCTGCGGAAGCAGAGGCCCTGGGCAGCGGCCGGTCCTGTCAGAGCTGGCTCCTTGGGTGCTTTGGGCCCTCTGTCGACCAGGCCAGGAGCCACTCGGAGCCTGCCGCCTGGGCAGGGGTCCAAGAGGAGCCCCTCACACTGCCTCTCCTCCCGTCTGAGGTCCAAGGACACCTGCTTCCACACTGAAAACATTAATGTCGGTATTTGGGCTCAGTCCCAGTCTTTGGTTCCCGTGAACTTACGGCAGTGACCCGCAGTCAAGCCTGGAAGGTAAAGTGCATGGTTTTTCTCCACCCGCTCCTGAAACACCACCATGACGACCACACAGGAGTGACCGAGAACAGCAGAGGGAAGGTGGCTGCTGAGCCGTGTCCGCAGACTTGGACAGGAAGGAAAGGGTGGGCAAGAGAGCCCCACCTTTGCAGTACAGAGGAAGCTTGGATCCGAGGCCGTGCAGACAGGGAGGAGGCTGGCTCGTGCTGGGAGCTCTGGAAAGGCCTGGGATTCAGAGACCCGGGCGCCTCCTGGGCCGGGGACCACAGTGGGCTGGAGGCCAAGTGTGAGGTGCTGCAGGGCTCAGGGCCCCCACCACCCCATCTCCAGCAGAGGATGGGGTGTGAGTGTCTCCAACTAGAGAGAAGAACAGGGCCCACGTAGGAGATGGTGCGGTGAGCCACCAGACACCTGGCCACTCGGGGGTCACTGGGGGGTGCACCTGCCGGTGAGGAGAAGCCTGCGCAGCTCGGGGAGAGCTGGCTCCAGGTGGATAGACAGGTGGGCTGGGAGTCGGCTTGAGGTGTCTCCCAGGGCTGAGAAGTCAAGCGGAGGACAGGGAGAGCATGCCACAGAGGCTCCCTGAGCACCTGGGGCCTCTGTGACATGTTTCGGAAAGAGAGGAAAGAACATTGCCTGGGACCCAAACACTGCATTTCCAGATTAAAAAGTCTGGCACAGAGGATGAAAATGATCCATACAATGCACACATCACTAGGCAGTTTCACAACTCTCGGGTTAAACAGAAGGTCCCAAAAGCTTCTGAAAGGAACAGCTAGGTCCACATAAAGAACAAGAGATCCTAAAGGCATCGGACTTATGCTACAAGCTAACGTGCAAAGGAACAGCCCTTCAAAAATCAGAAGAGGAATAATTTTCAACCCAAAAGGATGTGCCTAGCCAAATTCCAAACTAAATGTGCAAGGGGATAAAGATCATTCTAGACACGGAAAGCTTCAGATTTCCCTTCTTTCTGAGGAAGCTACTGGAGGATGTGCTCCAGCCAGACAAGGGTATCAACCAAGAAAGCTGTCACATCGAGGGACCCGGATCCCACGCAGGAGCCTCCTAGGCAGTCTCAAGGGGGCAGGCCCCTGGGTGTCCTCGAGGAGTGTGGGATGCCCTGCGTCAGAGACCACCCACGAGCTTGGAGATCACCAGGAAAGCTAAGCATCTAAGACGGGCCAGTTCCCAACTCCAGGAGGAGTGAGTGATCAGCTGCGTCACTCATGGATGAATGACACCTACAGAATCAGGAGAAGGGAAATCTGAATGTCACCACGTTGACCGTGGTGGCAGATGCGGGGAGAGAAGCGGGGGGCTTGGAGGTGGCAGGAGGCCGGGCCACACCCTTTGTGCCTGTGTTTGTGGCGGGGCAGAGACACGTAGAAGCAAATACGAGTGGGGGAGGCAGCTCATCTGGCACACTGGCCCCGGGGTTGCCGCTGTGGCCAGACTGCATGATCCCGAAGTGCATGGTGGACGCCTCTTCCTGCCACTCCGACAGACTGGCTACACGTTCTTCCAGTGTATGTTTTCACAAGACGGGTATTTTCTTTGCATGCTGACATTCAGCTTGCGTTTCCCACTCTGCGGGGGCGGGGGGGGGTGGCCTTCCACCTATGTCTGTCAGTCTGGCTCCGCCCCATTCTGGGGGGGTCTCTGCATTAGCAAGACCTGGCAGGGCTTGGGGTCTGGCACTGCGGCTGCCCAGAGCTCTGAGCCCCGTGGTGCTTTGGGGGCCGGGGAAGGTGTAGGCTCTCTGGGACGGACAGGACTGCCCCTGGTCGGCCCTGCGAACAGCGGGCAGCATCCGAGGTGGCCTCCCAGTTCCCGGGGCAGGGAGGGCCGGGGCAGGGGGGCTGCAGGAAACCATGGCCAGGTGAGTTCACAGTAGGAAGACGCCCTTCTGGTGGCTGCTGCCTGGGGCTAGCGTGGGGGCTTGCCCGTGCGCGCCCTGTCCTGCAGCATTCCCAGACCTGGAGAGAATCCCTTCCTCGGGTGGCAGCTGGTGACGCAAGCCAGCTGCGCCCTACTGCTGTCCTGGGGCTTGCTGCCAGCTGGGGCCACATTCCCCAAAGTGGCTCCACGTGCAGGGCCCCCCGCCCGGCTCCATGGTGGTAGAATGCGTTCTCCCCCCCTCCCCCCCCGCCCATCCCCTGGCTCCCGTGCCCCCTCCTGCCTGGCTCCTTGCCTGCGCGTTCTCCTGCGCCTCCCCCCGCACCCCCCGCAGTGCACGCCATGATGTGTGTGATGCCATGCCTCTGCCCATGACACTCCCTCCCCCGGAATGCTCCCTGCTTTCCGCCTTTGGTCATTGGAGTGGCTCATGTGCAAGCATCACCCGGGGCTTGTCAGCCTGGCCTTGCCCGGGCTCAGGAGAGATGAGCAGTGGCAAGCCAGGGGCCCTCAAGCGAGGCATCTGAGCAGTGAGAAGGATCAGCAGCAGTTAGCGTTAGGGGACAGTTAGGAGAGGCCCCCCAGGAGCCAGCAGGGGCAGGCATGGGGAAGGTGGTGAGGCAGCTCTCAGGTCCCTGCATCCTGGGACAGCAGGGCTGTCGTGGGCATCCCCTGGTGGGAGATGGGGGTCCTGGCATTGGGAGCCCTCAAGGCCTCCCCGGGCCCCCCACCCAGCCCCAGGCACAAGGCCCTGCTTTGCTTGGTGACCTCTTGGTCCTTGGAGGTGCGGCTGCCACGGGGACCCTCATAGGGTCTCCGTGTCCAAACTGACCTCACTGGGGCCACACAGAGAGCCCCTGGAGGGAGGGAAGCCATAGCCAGTGCCTCTCTTGGCATTGCTGACCCTCAGGGAGAAGAAAGGCTAGTGGATTCTGAGGCTTGAGCCTGAGGCCCCACAGGGGTGTCACCCCAACCCCTGGAGGGTGCCAGTGACTTGCCCCAAGCAGGCTTCTCCACATCCCAGCCTCTGTCCCCTCCTTGGAAAGTTCCCAGGGCTGAACAGGGAGGCCCGGGCCGCTGATCTACAGTTCCATCCAGCCTGGTTGTATTCCTTCCTTCCTTTTTAACCGATTCTCTCTGGTTTGCCCTGAGGAGCCATCGCTGAGCCTCAGGTGACTTCTCACTTGGGGCTGAAAGCCGAGGGCCACCCCCAGATGGTCACAGCCCTGAGCGAGGCTGGGCTCTACCCCGGCGACCGGCGAGTAAGGGACACGGAGCATGGGTTCGGGCAGGTGCCCAAGGCCAGGCCCTTAGACGAGGCGTCCGGGGAGTCAGCAGAAGTGCTAGAGCAAAACTCCCTGACGTTTACATTCTAGACAAATTAGTCTGAAAGAAAACAGACACTGGAGAAAGACTGAGGAGGACAGAAAGGCCAGTCTAGAAAGGAAGAAAGAGCAGACCAGGAGGCCGGGGCCGCCGTAAGTCCACCTTGTCCCTGTGTGCAGGCATCTCCACCCGCCCCCCCGCCTCTGCCCCCCCACACAGCGGCTCCGAGCCAGCACCCCCCACCATCCCACCTCCCGGCCATCGGCACCCGCTCTGCCCCACGCGGCCCCCCTCCACCTCTCTGTCACCGAGCCAGCACCCCCCCCATCATCCCACCTCCTGGTCATCAGCACCCGCTCTGCCCGACGTGGCCCCCATGCCTGTCCCCCCTCCACTTCCCTGCCCCCGAGCCAGTGTCCCCCACCATCCCACCTCCTGGTCATCAGCACCCGCTTTGCCCCAGTGGCCCCCAAGCCTGTCCCCCCTCCGCGTCCCCAACCCCCGAGCCAGCCACGCTAGCCCTGGGCCCTGTGACTTTGGGGCACCCTCTGGGGCTCTGTTCTGCCAGCTGGGTGGTGGGGCACACAGATGGGACTTCTCCCAGTCACTTGACCTCCTGTCTGATGACCGTCCCTCTCCAGGTCCCACCGGAAAAGGAGCCAGCCTAAGAAGCCCAAACCGGAAGACCCTAAGTCACCAGGGGAGGGGGCCACCGGGGCCACCCTCCTGGAGGAGCCTGGTGGCCTGAAGGAGGAGGCCTTGCAGGAAGTGGACGCCGAGGAGGAGGAGGAGGAGCCGCAGCCAGCGCCACCGCAGGGTCGGGAGGCTGAGGCCATGGAAGGTCAGTCAGGCCTGGGGGTCTCCTTCCTGACCCCCAGCTGCCGGGAGGAGCCAGCGGTCACCGTGGCCACAGGGTCCCCGCTCTTGGGAGTCCGATCCAGTTGCTTCCTCACCCGGCTGGCTGGCATTATGGGGGTGCGGTGGGGAGGGGTCTCAGAAACATGCCCTGACCCCGTACGGGGCCTTGGAGTGCTGGCATGGGGAACTGTGCGAGCTGGAAAGGTGCCCCGTGCCGACGGTTTGTGGTGCTGCCGCTTTGTCATTGTCCTCGTTGACACCTTCAGCTGCTCCCCTGTGTGCACACGGCAGGTGCTCCCCAGGGGTGAGGGGACGCCGGACTGGGCTGGATGGCAGATCATCCTGGCAGCTGCACCTTGCAGAGGTCACCAGAAGGTCCCGCCTGGGTCCTCCGTCTCCGACTTGGTGGCTGGTTGTTGGGACAAGTGAGCCCAGCATGGCCCTGCTTGCCTTGTGCCTCTACACCGCTGGGATGCCCCCCGTGGCTGCCGACGAAGGTGATGTGACACCCAGGGGACTCTGCCCCGGGGCGCAGTCTGAGGCCCAGATGAGGTGCTGCTCAGCAGACAGGCCGCGGCACCCCCAGTGTGCCCACGGGCTGGTGGTAAGGCTCCCGTCAGGGAGCAGCTGTGGGGCTCCCTGCAAGCAGCGTTTTCAAGAAGATGCCACTTGTAATAAATGCTACCAAAAAGTAAAGCACCTTGGAGTAAACCCAACGGAAAACAAAAGATCTTTACTGAAGAAATTAGAGACGTTTTGAAAAGGAAGAATCGCCTTTATATAAACGCAGCGACGTGTGTTGGAGAGCTTCCTGATGGGAAGACACGGTTTCCTTCCAGTGCCGTGCCGGTTCACGCAGCCCCTTCCAGTACAGATGGAGGGCGAGGGGTCCAAAGGAGAGGGGTCAGCAGAGGCCGGCCTGCCCGACCAGACATGAGACTGGCCGTCGGCACGCAGGAAGGACGGGAGCGAGGGCCCTTGGCCGTGCGAGTGGCAGAAATGGGGGCCGCCGCTCTTTGTCCTGGGGTGGGTGGTGACTCTCAGACGTAGCCTCGGATGTCACAGGGCACACACCATTTGATTCAAGTTCAGAACACACGCCCAGCTGGACGGTGCAGTTTAGCGGGTGCTCGGGTCCGCAGAGGCAGCCGTAACGAAGCCCCCAAACTGCGGGCTTCCGCGGCAGGACTTCGTGGCCTCACCGCTCTGGAGGCCAGAAGTCCGAGTTCCGGGGTTAGGACTTCACAAAGGGAATTTGCAGAGCACAGGGAGAAAGCATGGCTGAAATCAGTGGAGGAAACACAGCGCCCCCCCGCCCCCCCGGCCACCTCAGGTGGCTCCTGGTGCGGGTGGGCGTGCGGGGCACGTAGGTGTTCCCAAGCAGTGGGCCTCTAGGCCCTGTACACCCGTCGTGTGTGCCCTGGGACCTAAGGAGTGGGTGTGACCAAACACATAACCCGTCACATGGGTCCCGTGGCCAGAGCCTGGGCTGTGTTGGATAAATCATGATTTCTCTGAGCTGGGCTTTGGGGTCCAGAGCCTGGGGTCTCATCAGGTGTTTGCATCTGAACCTGGAGGCCATGCAGCCACAGGGAGAGTAAGGGAGGAGTGTGCCATGCGGCCCGTCTGGGGCTCTGGCCTGAGGAGTTGGGAGACTCCGCAGGCCGCCGCCGGCGGGGCTGGTGAGGGCTGGGGCGGCGAGTGACCCGTCCTCCGGGCCTGGGTCAAACGAGAGACATCGTCCCCAGTGCCAGGGCACGGGGTCAGGCTGGCTGAGGGACAAGCTGCCCGTGGGGGTTAGTGGTAGGGAACTTGGTTCCAGCTTGACGAGGCTCTTTGCCTGAGTAGGAATGGCTCACTGAGGCCCGGCTGGGAGCCCGCGGGGACTCCTTGGCTGAGCGGGTCGGGTGGTCAGGAGAGACGAGGGTTTCAGTGGGGCCCTCCTGGGGAGCGTCGGAAGGAGACCTCGCAGCCCAGTGGCATCTCTGCTCCCTCCTGAGCAGACTGGCCTGAGGCTGGCCGGGGGACAGCCCGGAGGACAGATACACTTGTGGTCATGCACCAGCGCCCGCCGACCCCGCTCACCCAGCTGCTTAGCAAAGGAATGATGGCTCTCTTCTGTTAATTTTAATGGATCTTTACCCAGATCTGCTGACTCTTTAAAGACAACCGCCTCCCACCCACGCCCACCGCCCACTGCGTGGGCTGTCACCGGCTCTCGGCCATCTGTGCCCAGTCCCATCCTGGGGGCGCCGGGGGCTTGGTCTCCCCGAGTCTTGGGATTCCCAGCGAGAGCTGGCCTGCGGAGGCCCCTTTCCCGGTGAGCCTCCGGCTCTTCTCCCGTTTTCCTTGTCTGAGGTGGAAGCGGGGGGGCTCCGTGTCCCCCGAGAGTAACCCTCGCAAGCTGCAGACCGAACTCAGGCCGCCCAGAAGGGGCCGTGCACAGCAGATGCCTCCTTCCCAGCATCTGCAGCCCCGCCCTGTCCTCTTCCCCAGTCTCACCCTGGGACCCCATCAGCTTCTTGGGGCACATGGATCCCAGGAAGGGCGGGGCGGTGTCTGCTCAGGGCCAGCACACTCCCCCATTCCAGACACGCCGTCCCTGCTCCACGCCAGAGCTGGAGGAAGGGGGATCGGGGCTGCGTGGCCTCCTTAGAGAGGAAGCGGTCCCTCTGGGCTGCCGGATGTGGCGGCCACAGCCCCATGCCACGGGCAGAAGCGTCCCGTGAGCCTTCCTCAAGCCATTGAATAAACAAGTGCTCACAGTCAGGGGCGATGGCAAATTCACGTCCGGGGAACGAGTGGAAGATTTTAAAGTGCTTTCTAGGCTTCCTTTAACACCCACTTAATGTCCCTAAAAGCTCTAAGTGCTGAGGATCATGTTGTGCGCGAGCAGTAGGCATTTTGTTTTGGATTTGCACAGCGACAACAGTGAACGCCGTCACTTCCGCACAGCATGCTAGGGGAGGTGGTGGGCAGGCGTGGAGGCGCCTGGGGCTCTGCATGGGACGGGGCGGGGACTGACCGTCCCCAGGAGGAAGCCTCCTCAGGGCTGTGAGGGGCCAGGGCTGGTTGCTGGGGTCCCCCACCCCGCTCTCGCGGCCAGGCTGTCCGGGAAGAGCCCTTGCCCTGGGGCACCTGGACCAGCAGCCTCCTCCCACGCCCACCCCTGACCTCGGGGGTCCGGAGCCGAAGGGAGAAAGGCAGCCCGTGTCCGCCCTGGTTTGCTGGGTCAGCAGGGGCTCCCTCCTCCTGGAGGGTCACAGCCATCTCACGGGAGCTCATCCCCCTGCCCCCCCGTGGCTCGGTACGGCTGCGGTCCCTTCTCAAAGTGGGGGCAGCGCCGGGACCCAGGAGCGCTGATTCTACCACTGTGCCATCTGTCGTCCCTCCCAGGTCGAGTGTGCGGCAAGGGACCCCACCCTGAGGTCCAGACTGGCTCTAGATCCTGGGCCGTCACCTCTCAGGCCCTCAAGGAGCTTGGCCTAGCCCCGGGGCTCAGGGGCAGTGCACAGTGATGGAGCCGCGGGGGTCAGGAGTGGCCTGACTGTGTGTGATGGGTGTTCAGGCGGCTACACCCAGCAGGGGGTGGAGGCCGGGCCTTAGTGTATGAGGGGCTGTGCGTTATGCTTGGACGTGTGTCCGGTCACACGGGACACACGTCCCCAGCACAGGCCAGCCAGGCCTCAGCCACAGGCGTGCCCTGCCTCAGGCTCTGCAGGGGAAGAGTGTGGCATCGGTGGGAGTGGCCTGGACTCTGGGGACCAGGACCAGCTCTCCCAGGCGGGGGTGGAGGGAGCTCCCTAAAGCGGGCAGCAACTTGGGGCACCACCCTGCTGGTTCCCCAGGCCTCCTTCCATGAGCAGCTTCCCTGCAGACACTGAGCTCAGGGGCCTGGACCTGCCAGGCGCTCTGGTGCGCTCCTGTTGGTGAACTTCGGGGCCGTAGAGGCGTGCTCCCCAACCAGGCAGGCCTTTCACATTTAAGGCTGGGGTGGGGGTGGGGGCTTGGCTGTGACTTACCCGCCCCTCAGAAAAAGTGCTGGAGGAGCCTCAGCTTGAGTGTGGGGGGTGGTCCCTGCCATTCTCGGGGGGAGGGAGAGGCTCACCTGCTGGGGAGACCCCTGGCTGGGACCCTCCGCCCTGTCCGTGTGACTGTCGCCTGCGCCATTTCAAAGTTTCCTCAGGCCCAGGCAGGGGTGGGGCTTGACAGGGTCCCAAGGGTGAGACCCCTACGCTGGGCCTGTGGTGGTTCCCGCGGTGAGGACAGAGCCCCGAGCACCCAGGTGTCCTTCTCTGCTGCTGACTTGTCCCCTAAAACGGCCCGCTGGGTGTGTCCTCCCATGGTTTCCCAGAGTCTAGGACGTGGGAAGAGGCCGGGCATGTTGCTTTTTGACAGCAGAGCCTCTTGCTCCAGCGTAAACAGTAAGTAGGTCCCCCTGTCCTCAGGCAGGGGAGAGCTTAGCTTGATTTCCATTCGAGAGGTCGAGAGGTCGGCCCTGTCAGGGCGGAAGGAATATCGGGTTTCCTTAGAGAACAAAGCTGTTTATTGGAAAGTGCCTTTTACACAAATAGGACAGCTTCTTTGCCCTTTCTGTAAATTAGTAGAACCACCCATCCGCCTTGCCACTCGCCTGTGGGGCCTGATGTCCTGGGGCCCTGCGCCATCCCTGCCCCCATCTCACCCTCCAGCCCCGACTCTCCCCTCCACGTCCCCCCCTCCACGTCCCCCCTCAGCCACCATGTCTCCACCCCCCATGTGACGGCTCCCCCACGTCTCTCCCTGCTCTGTCTCTCCCCCAGCCCCCCCACGCCTCTCCCTCCGACGTCTCTTCCCGACCTCCACATTCCCCACCACACACACACACACACACACACACGTGCACACACCTCTCCCACCTCCACAGGCTACCTTCCATTGCAGGGGGCCATCCAAGCCCCGCATTTATAGGGGAGAAATGGTTTTGTCTCAGCCAGATTACTGTTTCTAAGGTGCAGGCAGGAGGGGGGCCTAGGGAGCAGTCAGGGCCCCTCTAAGCAGAGTGGCTCGGGCCCCTGCGATGTTCAGGACCTGGGGCATGAGCCAGGCTGGGGCGGGCACCCCCTCCTACTTAGGACCGGTGGAGCCTCTTGAGAAACACGGGATGTGTGGTGGCCCAAGACAGGAGGACAGGACGGCCTGGGCTGGGCTGCAGCGCTGCAGATGGGGAGCAGTGGGGAGGGGCGGGGAGGGCCAGGGGCCTGGCCCGGAGCCTCGGCAGGCTGACCAGCTCATCCCGGGTTCACCAGGAAGCCCTCGGCCCTGGGCAGACCAGATGGTCACCGCCATCACTCCTCTGTGATTTCTTGCCCCTGGGAAGCTGGGACGTAGACGAGGGTCTGAGCTAGCATGCCCATTCTCCAGTGCGGCAGACCAGGCCCGAGGGTTCCAGGGCTCACTGTGCTGTGGGCTGTGCGCCCCAGCAGGCCACCAGGCTGGTTGTCCCTGAGGGCGGGGGTCCCTGAGGTTGTGCATGCCTTGCCCTGAGCACAGCGGGCCTCATGAAGGCCACCACCTCTGGAGTTCCCTGGGGTTGCTGTGACCGTGACCACAGACTCCCACTTACGCTCTGACTCTGGGAGTCTGCAGCCTCACGTGGGTCTCCCAGCTGTGGGCAGGGCTGGCCCCGACCGGAAGCTCCAGGGGAGACTGTGTTCCCGCCTTTTCCAGTTTCTGGGGCAGCGCGTCCGTGGCTCGCGGCCCTTCCTCCATTGTCAAAGCCAGCAGTGCCACAGTGCACCTCCCTCTGACCGCAGCTGGGAAAGGCCCCTGGCTTCTAAGGACCCCTGTTAGCACACTGCGCCCATCGGGTCACCTATCGTGCCGAGATCCTTAACCCCGTCTACAGTTCTCTGCTGCCGTGTCAGGCTCCGCGCTCACAGGTCTGGAGCTAGGACCTGGGCATCTCCGGGGACTGAGGTTCTGCCAAACATACCCCTGTTCACTTTTTTTTTAATTAAAGATTTTATTTATTTATTTGACACAGAGAGACACAGCGAGAGAGGGAACACAAGCGGGGGGAGTGGGAGAGGGAGAAGCAGGCCTCCCGCGGAGCAGGGAGCCCGATGCGGGGCTCGATCCCAGGACCCTGGGATCCTGACCTGAGCCGAAGGCAGACGCTTAACCGACTGAGCCACCCAGGCATGACAAGATGTTTATTTTAACCATAAACATTTAATTCCAGACCTTGTCTTTCTACTTCGTCACTCTTCATCTTCTTTGGATAAACAACCACCAGAATGCATTGCTTCAACAGTGATGCTGCACTGTGGTGGATGCCGTTTTGGAAATTTGTGGGGGGACTTGGGTTGTTCACCGGCTTAGGGAGCCCCATTACCATTTAGAAGGCAGAAGCCAGGCAGGGATGATGGACGTCATGAAAGCACTGGACAGCTCTACCCATTTAAGAGTTGTCCCGTGCAGTCTCCGACCCCCAGCATCTTCCAACAAAGGGTCATTCGGGTTCGAAAATGATCTTTCGGAACCCGACATTGACACCCACGCTCAAGTACTTTTTTTTTTTTTAAAGATTTTTATTTGTCAGAGAGCGGGCACAAGCAGGGGGAGCAGCAGAGGGAGAGGGAGTAGCAGACTTCCCGCTGAGCAGGGAGCCCGATGCGGGGCTCGATCCCAGGACCCTGGGATCATGACCTGAGCCGAAGGCAGACGCTCAACGACTGAGCCACCCAGGCGCCCCCCCCATTCACTTTTATCTGATGTCCCGGCCCCCAGTTAAGTTGCCACTGCAGACATGCCTCGCCTCCCTCCCTCCCTGCCCTGTCACCTGTCAGGAGTCCCCCAGCATCGGCCCTCCGCAGTGGTCCTCCAGGCCTGTCTGACTCTTGTGTTCTGCTCAAGTGACCACTTCTCATGGTTTGCTGGTTGAGGTTTCACTTTTTAAAAACGGTACAGGCTGCACACTTGAACCGTGGTAACTTACAGAACCTGGATACCATCTTCCGTCTGCCCCACTCCCCAGGAAGGACACTTGGAGAGGCCCCCGCCCCCCAGTCGGGAGCCCAGGACCACAAAGCCGCTCCTCCCAGCTGCTTTCTCACTACTAATTCCAGAAGGCCCTTGGAGCACCTGGCAGAACCAGGAGGACGGGGACCAGGGGCAACCCCAAGGCTCGGGCATGACTGGTTTCGGGCCGCCAGCAGTTTGAACTTGCTGGAAGCCTGTGTTTTGCGGAGGGAAGGTCACTTCCTGCCTTGGCGCAGGGGCTCGCAGGAGCGCGCGTGGCCGCTGGCCTCAGCTCTGACCTGTTTTTCCTCTTCGCCCACAGAAGACGGGAGGGGCAAGCTGCGGCCGGCCAAGGCCAAGAGCGACAGGAAGAAGAAGGGCTATGGTCCTCCGCATCCCCACCACCCCCTCTTGCCCCAGCTGCCGCCGCCCCCACCCACCCAGTTCTCTGCCGAGGAGGCGCCCAGACTGCCACCCCCGCTGGAGCCCCCGGCACTGGCCCCGGGCCCCGCGCCAGCTGAAGAGAACCCCCCACCGCCACCTCTCAACGTCGTGCCCCCCGAGGCACCCGGCGAGGAGCCGGAGGTGAAGCCGCGCCCCATCATCCCCATGCTGTACGTGGTGCCACGGCCCGGCACGGGGTGTGACAAGGGCCGCGTGTCCTGCCAGCAGGCCTTTGAGCACTTTGCCCAGAGGGGCCCCACCTGGAAGGAACAGGCGGCCCCCATGGAGCTGACGGGTCCCGAGGAGGAGAGCGGAGCCAGCGAGGTACAGGTGAGGGAGCTGCCGGCGGAGGGCCCTGGGGCCTGGGGGTCCCGCTGCCCCGTGCTCCCACCCCAGCCCTGCTCGTCTGAAACAGCCCCCGCGGCTCATCACAGAAAAAACCCAGTAGCTCCCGGCCATCCCCTTCCAGGGGCCCTCGCACCCACGACCGGAGACACAGGCCGTCCGCTCTGCCCCGAGGGGCCAGGCTCTGCTGTGCCTCCGAACCATGCCCTCCGCACACACTCCCCGTCCCGCTTTCAGGCGCCACCCACGTTCTCCAAACTGAAGATGGAGATCAAGAAGAGCCGGCGTCACCCCCTGGGCAAGCCGCCCACCCGCTCCCCGCTGACCGTGGTCAAGCAGGAGGCCTCGAGTGACGAGGGTGAGGCCCCCAGACCCCCTCCCCCATGCGGAGCGTCAGCCCCAGCGGCCCCTGCTCAGCCGGCAGTGCTCCCCTCAGCCAGGCCCCAGCAGCCCCGTAGAGCCACCCCAAGGCGTGGCCCCCACCCTCATTCGCTCCACTTCCCACCTTGGGGTGCTTGCTTTGCCAAAGCTGGTCCCAGGGCCTAAAACATACACCATGGCCTGTGAGGGACAGGCTGCAGGTCACGGGGGCTCAAACCACAGCCCAAGGCCACGGGTGCCATCTACCTTTGTGTGCCTCAGTTTCCCTATCTGGAAAACGGGGGCTGCCAGTCCTGTGAGGCGTCCTCCCGGGAAGGTGCACGGAGCCAGTGCCTGGAAGGCGTGCCATGTGGTGCCGGGCCCGTGGCGGGTGCCGGGAGTGCCGAGGCTGGGTTATCGCCCGGGGGGCTGTTTGTCCCTGTGGTACCTACCACACAGCGGCTCTTGTGCTCTGCGAGAACCTCTTCTGTCCCTGCCGGAAGCCCCCGCCCCCAGGCCTGGGCTGGCTGCCCCCACGCCCCGCTCCCGTGGCCCCGGTGCGTCCGCATCCCTAGCTGCCCCCAGGCAGGCGAGGACTGTGCCTTCTCCTCTCGCGGGCTCGGGATCTGCTGGGATGCCTGGTGCAGAGTAGGCTTCCGGAGCATTTACAGAGCGGGCCAGCGAGCGAGTGAGCCGAAGGGCATGCCCATGCCCCGTGTGCCGGCCGCACCCCCGCGTCGGGGCTTGAGAAGGGACTCAGAGCTAGAGGCTCGCAGGGCTGGGCGGGCCCGAGGACTACCCTGCGGACGTGTCCTGGCTCTGCGACCCCGGTGCCCGTATGCGGGAGCAGCGCTGCAGCTGCTACCCGGGCCTCGTGACCTGACCTGTGGCCGGGCCGCCCGCTTGGCAGGGCTCCTCCTGGTGGCCCTTGGTGGCCGCGGGGAGGGTGGAACAAACGCGATGTGGAGCTGGGGCCGGGATGCCGCTGAGAGCCGGCAGCACGGGCTCTTGCAGAAATCCTGCTAAGCCAGCATCGGTCTTTCGCGTAAGATGCCTGTGGAGTTTGCAAAGCATCTGGATATCTCCTTTCGTTCTGAATTAGATTTGAGGGCTAGGGCGAGGAGGGGTTCTGGGGGCGCCTGGGATCGCAAGGCCAGAGCCCCCAAGAGCAGGGGGAGCTCACTGGAGGGCCAGACACAGCCGGAGCCCTGCAGGCAGCTAAAGGCTGTTGCATCATTTCCAGAAGGGGCCTCCAAGGCCTCCCCCACCCCCACTCCGCGGGCCCCTTGGGTGAAGCCGCAGCTCTTTGCTGTGAGACCACCGGGAGCCCAGAGCCCAGCATGTGTCCTGGGATCTTTGGTGACAGAAGGCAGGCCCGCAGCTCTTGTCACCTGCAGGGGGCCTGGGCCTGCGTGGGGCCTCCTCAGGCAGAGCAGTCTTGGCCCTTGAGTCAGGCCCAGCCCTGGGGGTCTGCACTGACCTCCTCCTCCCTCTCGGGAGTCCCAGGTCCCAAGCCCAGGACTCCAGGCTCCTGTCTGCTTTCTCTTCCCACCATGCCTTGCTGGCCCAGCGGCTGTGAGGGTTGCGGCCTCAGGAATGAGAACCCCGCTTCTTGGGGTAGCCTCCTGCGGGGCACTGAAGCTCAGCCCCATGTCCTCAGGAAACACAGCAGCGGGACTTCGGGGGGCTGGGGTGTGGCTGGCCGGTACGTGAGGCCAGCAGAGGCCAGCCGCAGCAGGTGACAGGCGAGGTGGGGGCACGTCTGTTTGTGGCCTCTGTCTTGGTCGTGACACTAAGTCCCCGAGTGTGTTGGAGTGACACCGCCCCTCCACTCCCAGCTGTCTTCCTCCCTGGGCTCTGTTGAGCTCGGGGACCTGTCACCATGGATGCTCGCAGCAGTAACGGGCCCACCGGGGTGGGGTGGGTGGGAAGGAAGGTTCCTCTGGGCCTCCAGCCATGCCTAGGTTTCTCTCTGTCCCCTCCCGCCCTCCTGTTTTCCTCTAGAAGCCTTCCCTTTCTCCGGGGAGGAGGACATGAGTGACCCCGAGGCCTTGAGGTCTTTGCTCTCCCTGCAGTGGAAGAACAAGGCTGCCAGTTTCCAGGCCGAGAGGAAGTTCAACGCGGCGGCCGCCCTGACTGAGCCCTACTGCGCCATCTGCACCCTCTTCTACCCTTACAGCCAGGTGAGCGCCGGGCTGGCCGCGGGGGGCGGGGAGGAGGCAGCATCGGTCTGCGCGGGGGCACCTGTCCGCCCCGCCTGATGGAGCCCCGGGGAGGGGGGTGGAGACCAAGAAGCCGTTTGCTGGAGGAGCCACCGTGGGGTCAGTGCCGAGCTTGGCCTGACAGGAGCCCTGGGGGGGCACCGGATAGCCGCAGGGCAATGGGTGCAGGGGAAGCCCTGGGCATTTGGGGTCACATGAAGCCGAAGGCTCCCTTGGAAGGGCTGTAGGGAGAAGCAGAGAGAGCCTGGTATCTGAGTTTTACCAGAGAGGGACTTATCCTGGACCTGAGAGCCAAGGGGCGGACTGGGTCCAGGGCAAGCGCCCTGCCTCACCTAGCGGGACGGACCCCGTGAGGAGCCCCCAAGTGGCCTCTGCCGAGCCAGGCACTTGTTCCGAGCTGGGTCCCGCTCTGTCCCCTGTTTCCCAAGTTGGGGACCTGGCCTCTCCCCGGCCTCTGTCTCATGCTGTCAGCCACCAGGTCCTGCCCACTTAACCTTGTCGCCCCTCCCCCTCATGCTGTCACCCTGACCTGCCTTCTAGCTCTTTCTTCCTCACCTGCCCTGGCAGGAGCCCTTCCTGTCGGTGCCTGACTGAGGCCCGGGCACATGTTCAGGAGGCCACGCCGGTCATGTGCTCCCTGGCTGGAAACCACCAGGCTCACCACGGGCCTCGGACTCGCAGTTTGCCCCCGAAGCCTTCCTCTGCCGTGATATCTGCCCCCCACCACGCACACAGTGACAGCGTGCTCCGTGCTGACCCCCAGGGTCCCAACCACCCACCTACCGGGCCCCCTGTCCTACCAGACAGATTTTTGTTCATTCTTTGAGTCTGCTGAGCTGCCTTCTCTTCCATGAAGCCTTCCTGGACCTGCTGTCCCCGGGCACCCCACCCGCCCCCCAGGCTCTCCCCCCCACCTCTGCTCTTATCCTGCTGTCTGTGTTTATCAGCCCCTGGACTGTGAGTCCCTGGAGGACAGGGCTCAATCTCCAGGCTCCTAGCCTAGTGCCCACTTAGCTGAGCCGCCCTGAGGATTGTGCTCTGAGCCAAGGGCAGCATGCTCGTGTTAAGGGCACTGCTGCTTCGCGCTGCCTGGAGCGCTGTCTCCATGCAGATGTTTGCAGACAAACAGGACAGAACACATGGCTTCTCCAGGCGTGGCCCTCTTTAGTGCTGCTGGGAGTCAGGGTGCTGGGACTGCCGGCCTGAGATGCGAATCTCCTTGAGCCCAGTGGCTAAGTTTCATTGTGCCCACAGCTCCGGTGGGCTCCTGCTGTCAGAGCCCTCGGAGTCAGGGACCAGGCCTCGCTTGTCCCGTGAGGGTGGTCAACGTCGCGCCTGGACATTCTGCCTGTTTGGGAACCAGCCGGTCCCTTAACCCGAGGTGGCGGGCAGGGTGCCTCCGCCAGAGCTCTTCCCTCCCGGGTCAGGGGAGTGCAGAGTCCTCCTACCACTCCTCTGTGGGTGTCCCGAGACAGGCCTGGAGGGTGTGGGACCTGGGTGCCATGGGCAGGACGATTTCATCATGATCTGTTCACGTGATGGGATCTGGGGGACTCAGCAAGGACTGGGGTACGGCCTTTATGGGACATATGTCAGAGGTAGGGAAAACTCTGTGTAGGTTCACAGATAAAACAGTGTCAGGTCATGGTCAGGATCACAAGAACACACAGACCAGGGGTGAAGGGCTGGGGGCCCCTGGTCTTGTGGGCGGGCTGGGCTCCAGAGCACGCATGAGCAGACATCTGGATGTTCCTGGCAGTGGGAACGGCAGTGGGAATGGCACAGGCAAAGGCCCCGGGGCGGGATGGTGCCTGGCTCCTGGGGTGTTGGAGGCCGAGCGAGGAGGCTGGTGTGGTTGGAGCAGAGCGATCGAGGGGCATGAGGGTAGCAGGACAGTGTCTCTGCCAATGTGACCCTAAGTGGGAGGGTTTTCAGTGGGGACGGGACAGGGTCTGGCTGTGTTTGAGGAGGATCTCTTGAGGGCTCTTGGGTCGGGGTTGAGGGCTGGGAGGGTGGGATGGGGCAACTGCAGGGGAGAGTGAGGAGCAGGCCAAGGGGGTATTTGGGGCGGTAGAGGGCAGAGTCAAGGACAGCCATGGTGCCTGGCCTGCTTTGGCCATGTCAGGTGTCCCAGACTCCCCACTGAAGGCAGCCCCCTCCTCCTGCAGTCCCTACAGACCGAGAAGGAGGCTCCCCAGGCCTCCCTCGGGGAGGGTCCCTCGGCTGCTCCTCCTTCCAAAAGTGGCCAGAAGACACGGCCGCTGATCCCCGAGATGTGCTTCACCTCCAGTGGTGAGAACACGGAGCCCCTCCCCGCCAATTCCTACATTGGGGATGACGGGACCAGCCTGCTGATTGCCTGTGCCAAGTGCTGTCTGCAGGTGCATGCCAGTGAGTACTGGGTCCGCGCCGGCGGCCGGGGGGTGGGCAGCTGTGGGCTCCGTGGCCCCCCCGGGTGGCCCCCTGCTTCACCCTCCCTGGGTGGCCACCCTTGGGTCTGCGGAGCCAGCAAGCCCCTTCCCTCCGCGCTGCTGTTTGGGGGCTGTCACAGGACCTGGTGTCACGGGGTGGCCTTCCCCCTGGCCGATTCTGACAGTGCCACTGAGGCCTGTCCTCCCCTCTGGGCAGCAGCAGGAAGAAACGAGGTGCCCGTCACCTCCTTTGAATGCGCTGTGACACTTTTAAACTGCACGCTTTGGGGCAGGAGTCAGGGTAAAGCTGAGATTCTAGAGCGGTCCAGGGGATCCGATCTCTCTCTGCCACAGGCGACCACCCTCTCCCAAAGCCTGAGGGCCCGACTGAGCCTGAGACAAGAAAGTGGATGTCTGCCCCTCTCTCAGGCATGAGGGGCAGCAGATGCGAGCTTGAGCCTCCAGGACGGGAAGGAGGCTTTCTGGAGCTGTTCAGCCCCATGGGCTGCCTAGCAGAGGGAGGCAGCCGTAGGTCTCTATCCAGCCCCTGCAGAGGCCTGCCCAGAGCTCTTCTTGTCCCCTGGCTAGGAGCCCGTTTGCTCTGCCTTGCTGGGCCCAGGTGTGAGGCGTGCTCCTGGGCGGGCAGGCCCCCGGGGGACGGCGGTGCAGGCCCAGGCTGAGCCCACCCTCTGGAGGGGACTGAGTCGGGCTACACAGGCGGGAACGAGCCCAGGGGGCGGGGGGTGGGGGTGGGGCAGAGGCTCAGCATCGTCCTTGACACCGGGCACTAGAGAGAGGTGGAGCCCATTCTTCCTCCAGGAGTCAGGCCCCCACTAGGCCTGGAGCTTGGCTAAGTGCCCCCCAGGGCTCAGAGCAGGGGGCCGGGCTCCGGCTCTCGCACGCTTTGCTGTGCCTCAGGGCCTCTGTGGGGACACAGCAGAAGACCACCTCTCTGCCGCCCTGCTGTCTCCCTGTGTTCCCCCTGGGGCCCATTGGCGCTGGCCACTGCCCACTCCAGGCAGCAGAGCCCGTTGGCCAGGTGACAGTACCCCAGCCGGCCGAGGGTGCTGCTGGATGATAACTCCAGGGCACGGGCTCTTGACCCTCTGCTCCCCTCCTCCACGCCCTCTCCCCATTTCTAAACCAGGACCAAGGTCCTAAGCAAACCTTCATCACCCAGAGCCTCCAATTTCTGGTTTCCTAAGTAGTGATTCTGCCTGAACACAGGGCCCAGCCGGCTCAGCTGTGCCGTCTGAACTGCAGCATCCACGAGGCCCGCTTCGAGTCGTGCACAACTGCGGGATTGCTTTCCTGGCTTGCCAGCCTCCCTGGCCTGCAGAGCCTGGGCAGGGCCTCCTTGACTAGACGAGACTAGAATGGAGACAGCAAGGGCTGCCCGGGCTGAGCAGCCCCAGCAGGGGGCCCTGCTCTCCTTCCCCCTACTTGCGTTCCAAACGAGCCGTTTCCAGACCGTTCCCGCTGCGCGCAGTGGCCTGGATTCAGGGAGAGAGAATGGGGAGAGCAATTGCCCTAAATGCTGCCGCCGAATTCCAGGAGGCCCCATCGGCTCTGCATGCGGCCTGGCAACAGATGCCGCCTCGTCTCAGCTGCCCCCTCCCCTGTCTTGCAGGTTGCTACGGCATCCGCCCCGAGCTGGTCAATGAGGGCTGGACGTGTTCCCGGTGCACGGCCCACGCCTGGACTGCGGTAACTCACCCCTGCAGCTGGGTGGTGCTCTGAAAGCCTTTGAGGCCTGGGGAGGAGCTGGGCCTGGGACCCAGGTTCTTCAACCTCGGAAGCGAGGGGGTGGAGCCCGATGCACCCCCCACCCACCCCCGGCCAGTCCCTTCCATGGCCGCTAGTTTGAAATGTAAGCGCTGCAGGCAGAGGCCGGAGCAGGTCCCAGGGCAGAAACCCCCTCACCTTGTGGTTGTCTGGTTCCCGCAGGAGTGCTGTCTCTGCAACCTCCGGGGAGGAGCCCTGCAGATGACGACCGACCGGAGGTGGGTGGCGGGGGCTCCTCCTGGGTGTGTGGCCTCAGGCCTTGAGGCATGTGGGGGGACCAGGAGGAGCCGCTGGCCCAGAACATCCCTTAAGGTCCTGTAAGCCCCAACTGGCTGGCGGCACTGGCGGGGGCGGGGGGGGGGGGGACAGCAGCTACGAGATGACCCCAGGGCCCAGGGTGGGGTGCACCTGTGAGTCCTGACCCCAGCCTGCCCCCGCCGCCCCCACCAGGTGGATCCATGTGATCTGTGCCATCGCCGTCCCCGAAGTGCGCTTCCTGAACGTGATGGAGCGCCACCCCGTGGACATCAGCGCCATCCCCGAGCAGCGGTGGAAGCTGGTAGGTGCCCCGGCATCATGCCCCCGGGGGGGTGCAGGGTGGCTGCCCGGTCGCCAGATGCCTCTGATTGGAGTTTGGCCAAACCGATCTCTTTTCGGAGGTGCGGCAGGTCCCTGGCTTCCGGGGTCTCTGTGCAGAGGCAGAGTGCAGCGTGCAGCTCGTGCGTTCCCGCGTGGGGGAGGCTGCCCTCGCTCTGCCCCGGGCTTGTCTGATTACCGTGAGCCCCGCACTCTGACAAGCCTCCCGGTGCCACGGCAGCCCCTCATGCGGCCGGCAGAGCATGCGCTTGCTCGTGGTGCGTGACTGAGCGTTACACGCCCTGAACCGCGCCCCCCCGCCCCCGCAGCCACCCTCCTGCTCTCTGCGTCCTGGAGTTTGACTCTGAGTGGGGTCACGCGGGACGTGTCCTTCTGGGCCCTTCCCTCTCGCTGTGCGTAACATCGTCCGGGCCCGGCTGTGTGGTTGCCAATGGCAGGATTTGCTTCTTTCTGTGGCCGAGTAGTAGTCCACCGTGTGGACACGCCACATCTCTCTCCGTTCCTCCGCTGGTGGACACGTGGCTGTTCCTATGTCTTGGCCGCTGTAGACAGTACTGCCGTGAACACGGGATGGCACATGCCTCCCTGAGGTGCTGTTTTCATTTCCTTGGGTCAGCACCCTATGGTGGAATTCCTGGATCGCATGGTGGTTCTAGATTTTTTAACTTTTTTTTTTTTAAGTAATCTCTATACCCCACTCAGGGTTCGAATGCACAACCCTGAGACCAAGAGTTGCATGTTCTACCAACTGAGCCAGCCAGGCGCCCCTGGTGGTGGTTTCTCTGACTTTCTGAGGCACCTCCGTCCTGTTCGCAGAGTGGCTGCTCCAGCTTGCATTCCCACCAACAGTGCATAAGGGTTCCCCTTTCTCCGCATCCTCGCCAACATTTGCTGGTTTTGGTGTGGTTGATTTTAGCCATTCTGACAGGCGTGAGGCAGTATCTCGTTGTGGTTCTGGCTTGTATTTCCCTGACGATGAGGGACAGTGAGCATCTTTCCGTGTGCCTCTTGGCCACCTATCTATATGTCTTCTTAGAAAAATATCTGCTTAGGTCCTTTGCTAATTTTTAAATTGGCTGCTTAGGTCCTTTGCTAATTTTTAAATTGCTGCTGCTGAGTTGTAGGAATTCCGTAGCTGCCCCTCTGGATGCACACGGCACTTCCCTCTGCAAGGCCTCGGGTGGAGTGTGGCCTCGAGGGGCTCCCGCCTCCTCCTCTCACCAATAATGGTCACCCTGGGGGAGCCTTGGGGACAGCAGGCCGAGTGGGCAGAGTGTGACGGTGAGCAAGCCGCTGGCCGGCCACGTGACTTTGGACAGCTCCCTTGGCCTCCGTGTACCTCGGCCTTCCCGTCTGTATGGTGGGCCGCTCGTGGCCTCCTGCGTGGCCAATGGTAACTGGGCCCGGCCGTCTGGCGCTGGCTGGGCCATCTGAGCACCAGCTCCTGCTCTCAGGCCCCTCTTGCCGTGACCTCATCATTGCTTTGCCGTGGAAACGCATGGGGGACTCTGCCAGGCTCTCTCGTGGCACCTGACAGCATCTGGCTGCTTTTCCCAGCTTGTTGGTTTCCCGGCTGCCAGGGCATTCCAGGGGTGCTGTTCCTCCAGGCTGTGGGCGGGCCGGAGGCAGAGAGGGCTTCGGCCAGTGGGCCTTTCGGGGAGTCCTGTGGGGACGCGGTGCTCAGAGCCCACAGGTGTGGGGCCCCCTGGCAGGGCTGAGTGGCCAGCTGGAGGAGCCCGTGTGGGAGGGGCGGGGGGCCTCGGCCAGGGGGTGTGGGGCGGCCGGCACCAGCCCTGCCCGGTGCGGACAGGTGATTAGGAAGAGGCCGGTGGCCTGCAGGTGACTCCTCCAGGAACGCGGGTGTAAAAGGCTTCATTATTCAGGTGGAGTGATGGCGCGGTGCACGGTGCCTGTGATAGATCCTCCCTCCCAGGCGCTTTATGGATCATCTGACATTTCCAGCTTGCAGCCTCTTCATTACCAGCACTTGTAACGATGAATTAAAAATCCTTATACACGAGGCTCACTTGTACTTCCTAATGGAGCCTCACAAGGAAGCCAGCAGTTAACTCCTGCTTGCCCAGCCGCCCGCCCACCTTCCAGAGCCACATGCTGGCCACAGGCTCAGGGATGGTCACTCCTGGTCATCCGTCCGTCTGTCCCCATGACTACCTGACCTCTGGCCCTGGGCGCTGCAGGTGTCCTGGCTAGCGGGGGTGGCCCTGTCCATGCCGTGGCCGAGCCCAGATTGCGCCCATGCTCCCCCCGTCACCAGGCTGGGATGATCCCCGGAAGAACTTCAAGGTCTGGTGGGGACTCCTGAGTGGGAAAGATCAGTTTGTGGGGGGCACGGCTGGCTGGGGGCAGGCGCTTGGAAATCAGTTCTGCCCTCTTGTTGGCCCTGCTTCGAGGTGGAGGGGCTCACCTCAGTCAGTACGAGGGGGGAGGGCAGGCATTTCCCAAAGCAGGTTGATGGGTGGGCGTGAGGGGCAGGCTGAGGACATGGGACCTGGTGTGTGTATGTGTGGTGGGGGGTGGGTGTCTGCAGGTGGGAGCAGCCTCCCCGGCCAGCGTCACCCCCACCCGTGGCCCCTGGCTCCCCCAGACCGCTGCTCTCCACTAATGTCTGCTGCCCCCCCCTGCACACCCTTCTGCAGCCTCCAAGGGAGACCCAGATGCCCAGCACCAGGGGCTCCTGACAGATGGCACGGCGGGGGCCTGGCCCGCATTCTGACTGATGGGGAAGCTCAGAATGAGGGGTCGCCACCCACGGGCTGAAATGTTTTGTGCTGTCAGGCGTAGCCGTCGGGGTCCCCTGGGTCTCCACCGTAGGGTCGGCCCGGCTCTAGCCCGGCTGTGGCTGGTGCAGCGGGACTGCTCGGCGCCCCACTGGCTTGGTGGCGGGACCTCCGCTCCTTGCGCTGGGGCTGCTCCCTGCCTCCCTGCGCCTTCCCGTCGGCGCGCACTGGAGGGTTAATGCCGCTCCCGCCTGTGGTGTCCGCGCCTGTCCCCGCAGGCTGGTGGGGATTAGGTATTGACAGTTTAATAATGAGATCTCATTGCCATCGATCGGCGTTGGGTGCCGTTCCTGTGGCGCCCTTGGCTGCGCTGCGTATCTGGCTTTTGAACGTGGTTTACAGAGCGATAAAGGCCCGCTTAGTAAATGCTCAGAGTGACAGCACGTGGCGGGGTAGGGCTGTCCCACAGCCTGGACCAGGGTGGGGGGGCGGTGGGGAGCAGCTTCGTGGAGGAGGCAACCCCCCACGGTGCCTTATATTCAAAATGAAGGTAGAATTCCCAATTTTAGTAGCTTTTAGTACATTCCCAGAGTTGGGCAACCATCACCATGATCTAGTTCCAGAACATTCCATCTCCCCAAAAAGGAGCCCCATCCCTTCCCCTCTCCCCAGCCCCCATTTCTGCGAGCCCCCTTCCCGTCCACGGATGAGCCTGTTCTGTGCGTGTCACACACGTGGACTCACACCCCGTGTGGCCTTCTGCGTCTGGTTCCCTCCCTGAGCGTCGTGGGCTCTGGGTCTGTCCCCGGGTCAGCGCATGTGGGCTCGCAGCTCGGGGACGTTCCCGTGGCTGGCTCTTCAGTGACTGTCCCAGGCAGCCCTGCCGAGAGGGTGTGTGGAGAAGAATCCGGAAGTGCTCCTGGGGGAGGCCGCTGGCTGGGTTTGGGGGACCCCCGGTGCCTCCCCCCACGCCAGCCGCGGGGGCCACTGCCTTGCAGCCCCAGGTCTCGACGGCCTTTCCGGGGAGACCTCCCAGCCCGGCTTCGTCTGTGTCCCCCCAGAAGTGCGTGTACTGCCGGAAGCGGATGAAGAAGGTGTCGGGAGCCTGCATCCAGTGCTCCTGTGAGCACTGCTCCACGTCGTTCCACGTGACCTGCGCCCACGCCGCCGGGGTCCTCATGGAGCCGGACGACTGGCCTTACGTTGTGTCTATCACCTGCTTCAAGCACAAGTCAGGGGGCCACAGCGTGAGTGCCCCGCCCGCCCGCCCCGCCCCGCCCCGCCCCGCCCCGCCCGCCGCCGCCCGCCCCGCCCCGCCCGCCGCCGCCCGCCCCGCCCCGCCCCGCCCCGCCCGCCGCCCGCCCCGCCCCGCCCCGCCCGCCGCCGCCCCGCCCCGCCGCCGCCCCGCCCCGCCCCGCCCGCCGCCGCCGCCCGCCCCGCCCCGCCCCGCCCGCCGCCGCCCCGCCCCGCCGCCGCCCCGCCCCGCCCCGCCCGCCGCCGCCCGCCCCGCCCCGCCCCGCCCGCCCCCGCCCCGCCCGCCGCCGCCCCGCCCCGCCCCGCCCGCCGCCGCCCGCCGCCGCCGCCTGCGCGCTCACGCGGCCCTGTGCCCGCCGCCCACAGGTGCAGTTCCTGAGGGCCGTGGCCTTGGGCCAGATGGTCATCACCAAGAACCGCAACGGCCTCTACTACCGGTGCCGGATCATCGGCACCAGCACGCAGACCTTCTACGAAGTGAACTTCGACGACGGGTCCTACAGCGACAACCTGTACCCGGAGAGCATTACCGTGAGCGGCGCGGGGCGGGCGCGGGCGGGCGGGGGCGGGCGCGGGCGGGCGGCTGCCGAGGCCCCCTGCAGGGGAGGCGCCGCCCGGTTCTGCCGACACAGAGCAGAGAGCAGCCGGTGCTAGGCGATTCTGCAGCCGGCGCCCCCGCCCCGTGCCCCCGCGCTCGCCTGAGAGTGCGGGCCCGGCATGCGCCCGGCCTCCTCGCCGCCAGCGCCCAGCACGGAGCACGGCTGAGCACGGCTGAGCGGCCGGCCGAGGCGTGGGGAGGCGCCGGGGCTCTCACCTCCCGCCGTCTTCTTCCCCTGCAGAGTCGGGACTGTGTCCGGCTCGGACCCCCGCCCGAGGGGGAGTTTGTGGAGCTGCGGTGGGCGGACGGCAGCCTGTACAAGGCCAGGTTCATTTCCTCTGTGACGAGCCACGTGTACCAGGTGAGCGGGCGCCTGCCCTGGGGGCGGACGGGCCGTGGGGCCCTGGGCAGCTCCCGTCTGCCCCACGTAAACGGTCAGGGCTTGTCACGCCTTTCAGCTGGAAGGGGCCTCAGTTGTTCGCAGTTTTTCTCATAGGCCTGTCTTCCCACTTGCGTGTGTGGGAAGCAACATACGTGACGTGAAATTTACTGTGCTGAGCATTTTTAAGTGTACGGTTCGGTGCCCTGATATTTTATTTAATCTGGATGGTTGTGAGTTTCTTCCCACGAGTGTGGAAGAGAAATCACTTAGTAGCCTGAAGTCTTGGAGGAAAATCACCCACATTCCAGCCGCCAAAGTCGGCGGCTGCTCATCCTCAGCTGTTCTGCTTTCTGTCGTGCTCGCCGGCACCCATATTTCTCTATATCGCACCCCTACGCCCCTTTTCCTCTCGCTGCCCTTCCTTGAGTGGGGACGCCCCACAGCGGTGCCCCTCGGCGGGAGGCCACCCCTGAGCACTGCATCCCTTTGCAGGTGGAGTTTGAGGACGGGTCTCAGCTGATGGTGAAGCGTGGGGACATCTTCACTCTGGACGAGGAGCTCCCCAAGAGGGTCCGGTCGCGGCTGGTAAGTGTGTGGCCGAGCCAGGTGGGGGCGCTGCCACCAGAAGCCCTTTGTGGTCCTCAGGGAAGCGGCCCATCCGAAAGGCCTCGGCCTCCCCTTCGTCCTGCTCCCCGGGAGGGAACCTGGTCAGTGGCGGGAAGGACGGGTTGCAGGGCTGGTGACAGCCCCGCCAGGAGGAGGCAGACCCGCAGGAGCCCGGCCCCGGCCACTGTGCTCCACGGCGGCCGCCTGAACACACAGTCCAATCTCCGACGCTGGCGGCGCCAGCAGAAACGCTTTGGCAAAGCTCGTCCCTTTTCAGAGGGAACAGTGAGTCCCAAGGTGGAGGGACGGTGACTGGCCTTTTTTCCCGGGCCTTCTGCGGTTCTCTTTCTTCCGTGTTTAATCCAAAGGCAAGGTTTTGAAGCGCAGGCGGCTGTGGCGGTCGCTGAACGAGCTCCCAGTGAGAGCAATGCGGGTCGCCCCGCTGACCTCAGGCTGGAGGCTCCCGCGGGGAAGGATGGGGCTTGCCCGACGCAGCCAGGCTGGGCTGCTCCTCCTAGCCGCCATCGGGCCGGACAGACGAGGCTCGGGCCGCCCCCTGTCCCCGGGCCCTGCCTGCTGGGAGGCTCACACGCAGGACTGGGGGTTCACGCAGAGACAGGAGCGCTGAGCAGCCACCCCTGGCGACCAGTGTCACTCTCAGAAGGTCACTGGATGAGGGACCGTGGCGCAGGGCCTTTGGCCCCCAGCAGGGTGGGCATGTGCCCCCACCGGGTGCCCGAGCGGAGCCCCCCGGTCAGTCTGTCGGGGCTGCTTACGGTACAGGCGGCGTTGCTCGCAGTTCTGGAGGCTGCACCTCTGAGGTCAAGGTGTGGGCAGAGTGGATGGCGGGGGACCGCGGCTTCCGGTTCACGGACACCTCCTTCTGGGGTCCCCTCGTGGCTGGAGGGAGAGGGAGAGCTCCGTGGGGTCCTTGTGATTAAAAGGCACTGACCCCATTCCCGGGGGCCCCCACCTCTGATACCGGCACCTCGGGGGTAGGGCTTGGACAAATGGATCTGAGGGGACGCAGCCCGTGGGTCCGCAGCCGCCCGCTGCCGCGCTAACCTGTGTGCTGTCTGGTCTCTGCAGTCGCTCAGCACGGGGGCACCTCAGGAGAACACCTTCTCGGGGGAGGAGGTGAAGGCCGCCAAGCGCCCGCGGGTGGGCACCCCGCGCGCCCCCGAGGACTCAGGGCGGAACCCGGACTACCTAGCGTTCATGGAGAGCCTCCTGCAGGCGCAGTGCCGGCCCGGGGGCCCCTTCTAGGACAGCCGGCCGCCCGGCGACCCCTCGGCCCAGCAAGGCAGGCGGCGGCGGGCCCTGGCGTTTGCTTGCTGTGAATCCCGTCCTCGCCTCCCCCGGCCCCGAGAGGCTACCTCCACGCGCGGCCGCCCCGCTCTGCGGCGACAGGAGCGAGCAGGATGCCGGCCCGCGGCCCGGACTCAGGGAGCAGGGCCACGCGGGCTCTGGGGGGGCCGGCTGGGGACTCGCGCCACCCCCACGACTCAGATTCGTAAACCATGTCAGCTCTTCTTCTCGAAAAGGTGCTACTGCATTGCCTGCCTCCTGAGCAGCCTTTGAGATTGTGACTTCTGTACATACATCACCTTTGTGAGGCTCTTTCTATAAATACCTATTGTTTAAAAAAAAACACACGCGAGAAAAAAAGGAAAACAGAGACCAGGAAAAAAAATCCCCAAAGCTGTTTTCTAGATTTGTGGCTTTAACAATGAAACAAAACAAAAATGTTCTTTTTCTCAGAACCGAGATACGCCGAGGGAGATAAAAGCATCTCGTTTTTTGTTTGTTTGTTTGTCGTTTTAAAACCTCGCTGGTCTCGGCGAGCGGCAGGGAGGTAGGTGCCTGGGAGGCCGGGCAGGGTCAGGGACGTGTGTCGAGGCCTGTCCCTCCTCCCCCCAGACTTGGCGAAGGCCTGGGCGGCTGGTACCGTCTCCTTGGCCAGCGCCAGCCCCGTGGCTCTCTGCGCCGACGGGAGGAGGCCGGCCGCGCCCTTTGGGGGTCCCGGAGCCCCCCTCTGGTCCGCGCACGCCTTCACAAAATAAACACTCTCTCTTCTGGTTTGCTCCATCTTTTGCTTCTTCCCCTCGTGAGAACCACTGCACGGCTGCGGCCTCCAGTGCTTGCAAAAGGGCTTGGTGCCCACGGAGTGTCCCCAGCACCGCCCGGGCCTCCCGTGGCCCTCCCAGCGGGTGCGTGGCTGGCTGCCTGTGGCCGTCTGGGGAGGGGCGACGCGGGGCCACGCAGGCCTCCCGGGTGGCCCGAGTCCGGCCGTTTCCCTGTGTGGGCGAGGCCTGTGTCCCCGGGCTCTGGCCACCCAGGTGCCCCACGTGCGCAGGACGCCCGCCTTGGACCCCTGTGTCCCGTTTGGAAAGCGTGGATTTGTATGTCTGGGGGACAGCAAGAGAGAACCAGACCCGCCTCCTGAGAGCAGGGGGTCGGATTTATGAGAGCGTGCCTGCGAGGGGCTTGGGACCCCCGCCCCCCGCTGTCCTGCCCTGGGCCCGACAGCATAATTTTGCTTGTGTAAAAAAAAATTAAAAAAAAGAGCGTTCTGATGGCTACCAGGCCAGAAAGAACTATTATAAGGAGAACGGAAAGAATGTAAATGAGCCGAGAACCTTTCATTTGCTTGATGGGGGGCGGGGGGCAGGTGCCCTGGAGCAGGGCGGGGGCGGGAGGCCCAGAGGGGAGCCAGCGGGGATGTGGGGGTTCCCCTCTGCATGCAGCAGCTCCGCCCGATGCGGCACTGTGTTCATATGTAGTTTGAAAATGCTATTTATATTGTAAAGAGAACAAAAAGCGGGCTGGCCCTCTGGGTCAGGGGGGTGGGGGCCAGACCCGGGGGGGTCTTTCTGGGTCGAGGGTGACTGACGTGCAGACAGGCCGCGGCTCAACAGAGGGGAAAAGCCCATCTCCCCACAAAGGTATATCCGTGTCTATGTACAAAAACGAAAAACAAAACCCACCCACCCTGATTTTTCTCCCACCCGAGATTAAGGATGCGCTGTATTTTTGCCTAATTTCCCCTGCCTCTAGGTTCATAATGAATTAAAGGCTCGTGAGCACTGCGAATTACAGCTCGCTGTCGTGGCGGTGTCTTCATTTCTGGGTGGGCGCCGGGAGGCGGGAGGGCGGTCTCCCCGCAGGGGGGTGGGGGGCAGGCTGCCTGCTTCCAGACAGAGCCGAGGGGAGGCCTCCCCAGGGCGCGGCAGGGTGGGAATGCGGCCTGGCCCCTCGGCTCCTGCTCCCGGCCTCCTAATGGAGGCAGTTCTTCCCCAGCCCACGGCTGTCACGGCTTGTGTCCCCGCAGACCCCTCCCCGGAGGCTGAGTCGGGCTCCACTCACAGGCAGGCTGGGGGCAGCGGTGGCTGGGGGCAGCAGGTCCCCTCTGAAAGACAACTCTCTTTGACCCCTTGCTTGTCTGGGGCCAGTGGCAACCCTCCCCCTGCCCTCCTGACCACCCGGTTCCAGTGCGTCTGAGCCAAGGAACATGCCAGACCACGGGGGTCTCCCAGGCCTGGGATGAGACGGGGCCCCTTCCCCTCATGAATGTGCCACTCATCCCGCAAGTCCTGGGCGTGTGGCACCAGTGAGGCCGGTCTGATTCCTGCCCTCGTGGAGCCGACAGGACTGGGAGAGGCAGCCAGTAAGTATGGCTCGTCAGGTGAGGTAGGAAGAGCAGAACGGGGAGAAAGGTGGTGTGTTCACACAGGGAGTCTTGAAGGAGATGATGGAGTGTCAGCAGGCATGGTCCGTGCAAAGGCCCTGGGGCAGGACCAGGCCTGGCGTGTTGGAGGAAGAGCCAGGAGGCCTGTGTGGCTGGAGCAGAGTGGGGGAGGGAGAGAGAGGAGGGGAGGACAGGGAGGGGATGGGGACGTGTCGTGCAGGGCCTTAGGGACCCCAGGGAGGACTTGGGCTTTTCCCTTGAGGGAGGAGGGAGCCCTGAAGGGCTGTGGGCCAGGAAGGGCAGACCTGACTGGGGTGCTCATGGGCACCCTCTGGTGGCCGCTATGGGGAGGCCGGCGGGGGGGTGGGTGGGCCGTGAAGGCGGGACTGCGCTGAGCACCTGGGAAGGTGGTTTTGCCACAAACTGGGATGGGGCAGCCAGGGGCGGGGGAGACCAGCTTAGACCCGAGTGAAGACCCTGCATGAAGACCCACGACTGAATGCACCAGTCTGGGCACCGGGGAGGGTGGTCCAGGGGCCCCTTAGGAGATACCAGCGGGCGGGTGATGTATTTACTGGACATTCGAGGCGGGGACCTGGGACTGGGCCCTGAGGAGCTGGTGCAGGACAGTGGGGGCGAGCAGCCAGTGACCTGGGGACCCCAGACGGGGGGTGCCCATCTCTGGGCCTCGGTTTCCCTCCCCAGTGTGGGTGTCCTTGCAAGGTGGTTGTACCCTAAGCAGCAATTTCCTTTGATAAAATCTTCTGGCCACCACAACCCTCATTCCACTTCTCACATCCTCCTCTTCAGGGAGCCCCTGCCTCCAGCATCCTCTCAATAGCTCCAGGACTCCGTTTCCCCATCTGTTACAGGGAACTCCGTGGCCCTGACTGGACAGGTCAGCATCGTCCCCGGGGGAGGCTCCCAGGGGCCTGGCAGGCACGCTCTGTTCTCAGCCCCGGGGAGGGGGGCCGCTGAGCCAGGTGGCCTGGCGTGGCCACAGAGGGCCCACTGCCACCCCCACTCCGATGTGCAGCCGTGCAGAGCCCATGGGGGTCCGGGGGGCCCCGGGTGTTGGGGCCTGTGCCGGGCCCTGGAAAGAAGCCCGAGGACCGGGGAAAGAGCTGCTGCTTCTCAGAGTTTGGGGTCCAGGAAGGCGGGGGAACCACAAAACAGCTATGACACGTGCCCCCACGGACCGGAAGAGGCCGAGACGCAGGGTACACTGTCAGGATGTCCGGGAGACCCTGCTGGGAGCTGATGTCTAAAGGATTTGACCCCTCGAGGGACGGCCCATCAGAGAGACTCCGGACAGGTGCACAGCGTGGTGAGTGCACTGCCCTAGGACCAGGCTCGGCAACCAAATCTGGCCTTCCACCTGTTGGGTAAATGAAGTTTTCGTGGCGCACAGCCATGCACTTAGCTGTCCTCTGGGGCGGCTTTTGCCCTACGGGAGCAGAGCGGAGCCGCGGTAGCAGAGACCCGCCCGCCTGCAAAGACAGCAGAAGTCAGCATCTGGTCCCTCACTGAAACGTGCTCATCCCAGACCTAGAGCGCACGGGAGGCTGCAGTCACCACGCCCCCTCCGTGGCTACTACGAGATCGCTCCCCCGTGGGGGCAGCCCGCCCAGCCCAGACCCGTCCCGTCTCTCAAAGGCCCCCAATGAGGCCACCTGTGTCCTAGCCCCCCACTCCCTCCAGGAGCATGGTGGAGAGAGAGACTTGGACCAAAGACCCCTCCGCCCATCCGTCATCCACCTGCTGGGGGGCTCTGGCCTCTAAGCCTCTGCACCCCACCGTGGCCCGTGCCCAAGCTCTGCAGGCTGCCCCCCACCCCCTAAGTCACCACCTTTGGCAGAGAAGGACGGGCCCCCATTGGCCTATGCGGTCTGTGACCCCTGCTGTCACAGTCCGTGGCTTTTATGATGGTGCTGGAACCTCTGCGTGGCCACTCTCCCCCCCCAACCTCGTCGCCAGCCCTCCCCCATGCCCCCAGGCCGCCTGCCACCCTGGTGAGGCCCCTCGGGGACAGAGAGTCACAGCCTCCAGGGAGAGCAGCCTCCCAGAGACCCCAAGGCCCCAGAGGCCGGGCGCAGAAAGCTGCGGGGGGGACGCCTCAGAGTGCTGGGGGACACTCCCGCTGGTGAGCATTATTTATGGGTGAGATTTACTTCGTGCTTTTGCTGTTAACAGAGAAAATAAGAATTATTTGCTGCCACGGGCAGCCCGAGGGGCTACGCAGGGCAGTGGGGGCGAGGCCAGGGACAGTGAGTGCCCAGATGCCTGGCATCCCCTCCGTGTAGCTTCCATCCTGGCCACTCGGCAAGTGACAGGGACAGATGACGCCCTCCCAGCAGCCTGCGCGGGGGAGAGGTGGGAGGGGTCTCTCCCGCTCAGCCCACCAGCCCCAGCACCCCATGCCTATAGAAACACAAAACCCAACATGTGCGTGGGAAATAGGGTGTTTGAAGTCGTTTCTGTGGCACTCGGACCTTCCGAGTGGCCCCTGGACACTCACGGCTCTTTTGTCCCCAGATCAGCTTCCTGGGGTCCTGGTCACCAAGGACCATGAACTGAGTGGCTTAGAACAGCAAACACATATTCTCTCGAAGTCCTGGGGGCCAGTTGTCTGAAATCCTGGTGTCGCGAGGCCCCCTTCCGCCCCCCAGAGGCTCCCAGGGAGGACCCTTCCTGCCTCTCCCCGCTTCGGGGGCCCCAGTGTCCCTAGGCTTGTGGCCGCATCGGCACATGACCGTCTCCCTGTGTATCGGTGTCTTCCCTGCTCTCTGTCTCCCGTGTCTGTCAGCCTTTCTCATGTAAGGGCACCAGGCGTGGGATTTAGGGCCCACCCAGCTAACCAGGATGCTCCCCCCATCTCAAGACCCTAAACTACATCTGCAAAGACACTTTTTCCAAATAAGGTCAGAGGCACTGGGAAGTAGGGCGGGGGCATATCTTTTGGGGGCCCCCCAGCCAAGTCACTCCAGCATTCTATCCTCCACCACAAACCCAATGGTCCTGCTGGGGGATCCCACGACCATCCCATGACCGTCCCCCCACGTGAGTGTGAGCCCCGTGTGTGTAAGGAGCCGCCATGCTGGACCCAGGGCCTGGCAGGTGGATCTTTGAGTCCTGTGTTGGTGGGTGGGCTCTGGAGAGCCTTGGGAGGCCGGGCACCTACAGGGGCAGGTGGGAAAGGGTCCCAAGAAATGGGGCGTGGGAGAGAGTAGCAGGTGAGCGGGCGACCTCTGGGCATGCCCTTCAGAATAGCTCAGACCGACGACACAGTCCTGTGTCACGCACCCCACACGGTAGCTGATTAAAATCCAGGTGTGCTGGGAATCCCGAAATGGAAACCACATGAACTACACGTGCAACAAAGGGTGTTTTGAAACTAGTGTTTTGCCTGGATGCTGTTCGGCTAAAACCAAAGATACCAGGCGCCTGGGGGGCTCAGTCGGTTAAGCGTCTGCCTTCGGCTCAGGTCATGATCCCAGGGTCCTGGGATCGAGCCCCACATCGGGCTCCCTGCTCGGTGGGGAGCCTGCTTCTCCCTCGCCCCCTGCTTGTGCTCTCTCTCTTGTTCTCTGTCTCTCTCTCAAATAAATGATAAAACCTTTAAAATTTTTTTAAAAAACAAAGATACCTGCACAGCAACTCTGCACTCTAGTTAGAAAATCGTGTCCCCGCAGCTTAGCCATCCTGGAGCTGCTTTCTGTAAATACAGAGGTTGGACAAATGGGTAAATTAATGGCACACGATGAGGGCCGGGCCTCTCTCCGTCAGAGAAAGAAATCGCAAATAAGTCAAGGGCTGGGAGGAGCTAGAATGGACCTTGTCCTGGGTTGGAATCAGGCGTGTCGGGACACACTCATGGTTTTCGTACACGGAGAGACTGTAGGTGTGGACAGATGGACAGGCAGCACGGACAGGCACGGAAGTGAGCGCAGGAGTGTGCACGGGCGGGCGCCGTGATGCCCGCAGCAGTGAGCACACTTGGCACCTGGACTCTGGCTTCTAAATACCGTCCTGCCATACAAGAGACCAGAGCTCCTCGGGGAGATCATTCACTGTACGTCTGGAGCAGGGAACACACAAGACAAATTTGGAACATCTTGTGTTGGCAGAGAGCAAGGAAATAGCCAGAAAAGGACACGGACGCCTGGAAAGGCCAGTCCCAGGGGCCGAGGCCAGAATAATTGGAACAAAAAACTCAGGGATAGGGCGCCTGGGTGGCTCAGTTGGTTAAGCGACTGCCTTCGGCTCAGGTCATGATCCTGGAGTCCCGGGATCGAGTCCCGCATCGGGCTCCCTGCTCGGCAGGGAGTCTGCTTCTCCCTCTGACCCTCCCGACCCTCCCCCCTCTCATGCTCTCTCTCTCTCTCTCAAATAAAAAACAAAAAACAAAAA